GGAGACTATGTAGAACGCACCGAGTCCGAAGTCGTCTGCCATAGTAGTTGTCTTGATTCCTAGCATCCGATTGTGGACTTGATACATTCTCAGACGTTTCGCCGGCATCGTAGTCGGCATCATCAGTGAGACTGCGATCATACCCGAGGCCACAACATCTTGGTCTTCACATCTTCAATGTCCGATTAAGTTCATCAACCAAACCCAACGTACCAGATTACGCAGCCCCAGTCATGTCTTCCCTTGGGGGTTAAACGTTAATGACCCTAGACTGAGAGGTTAGGACAAGTGGTTTCGTAATTTGACTTACATGCTTACAAGCTCATATCTCATTATCTCAACCATACTTGCCCACGGACCTACGCAGTCTCGGTCAGGGCTTTCTCTTGATTCATTAGGCGTTGAGGATCAGAACCTGAGATTAAACCTTTGACAACTCTGATTTAGTAACCGTATTGCGTACAGACTCTAACACATACACATACACACACACACATACACTCGAGCAAAATTATCAGGACCAGTATGGAAGATAATTAGCTTAATTGAGCCTACATAAGAAGTAAGATAGTGTTAACGTGACACTTTTACAAGAATGACACCCAGCTCTGATAATGTTCATCATATGATGGACGAAAGTTAGCACGTTTTCACCCGAAACCAAGGAGGAAGTCTCGTGGCCTGCGTCAACCTGAACGTCGAATAAAAGCCAAACTGCTGCAGTACAACGGGATTCCTCCGTCCTCATCTGGTGAGATCGACCGACGAATCTCTTCTTCATGCACTTTCATATGAAATGAAGGTCCCCCTAACAATGATATCTCAGGAGATTCATCGAAACCAAGTTTCTCTTCTTATCTACAGTAGCAAATAGTCAGAAAAGGTGTAACTATAGCTGGACTCGGCGAAATTGAAGCAGGAAATAGGCTTAGTAATGAAGTTATATATACACTTTATCTATTTATGAAGACAAATAGCTTACCACACTTTTGTCGTAGTAGGAGGCTGAATCCCGATACTTTTCTTTGTGCGTATGAATGAAGGCATTGAAACCAGTTTTCACATGATATGGATGGTGAATCTTCAAGACAAAGAATGAGGAAAACAAGTCAAATGGATAAGTCCTAAAGTCTATTACAAATAAGCTATGAATGCAGCTAATTTCACGTAGTTAACCCATAAAAAGAAGATAAAGATGTATAATCAAAGGCCCAGTGACAGCACAGCTAATGAAAAACAAGGATATCCACTAGATATTGAAGCTTGCTGCCGAACTATCTGAGAAAAAAAAATCAGAAAATAAAAAATATTAGTTTCTACTGGAATGAGATTGCAGATATGAAGGCCTAGATGGAGTGTCCTTAGGTTTGGTCGAAGCCTCCATCAGCCGTAGTGAATTGGTATGACCTTGTTTTTGCAATATGGTCGCGGCGAAAAGGAGTTCCCACTATCTCAATAACTTCTTTCTACTAAATTACCGGAAGCAAACCAAATTCAATCATTCTTATCTGACGGCTCATTCCAGCTTCTTTGACAGCTGGTATCCTGAGAGGTGATAGTTTGTTTTAGAGTGAATTTTACTGGACTAAAGAGGCCTCACTTGAAAATGACTATACAAAAGCTTATAGAAACAAACAACCGAAGCCAGTCGGTGATAAAAACGAACTTATTGCATATCTAACAGATTATCAAGCATAGTACGGATGAGAATGCCTTTTGGGTGAAAAACCAAATGAAATTCAATGACATTATGTAATATAAAACTGTGCTCCGTCCTTACATAACCTTGGCTGGCATGATGTGAAACAAATTTCTGCTAAAAGCCAACTTTATGTCAAGTGGTAGACAAAGTAAGGACAATAACGAACCTGGTAGACGAAAGCATAAGAGACTCTCAACCCTCTCCACGAATTATTTTGACTTAGCATACAACTGGAATTCTTAGTCTCTCAGCTAAGCTTGGTATCTATGATTTCGCCCATTCAATCCAACCAATCCGCATGTGGCTGTGGTCGTAATCCGGAGAGGCTTTCTGCACAGTCAAAGGAACATGTCCTAAATTGGTCGCAGACCGGAAATAAAGGTCGCATAGAGAAAGTCGTCAAAAAGCACACTGAAGAGATAAGTCCTCAAGTAGAGCATATGAAACACATATTTAATCCCAATCAGAGTAAAGAGATGCTCATTTGTATTAAGTAACATTCTCTTCATAGCTATGAAGTGTGTATAAATAAATTGTCGCCTTAAAAACAAACCATTGGATGCGATTAGGCCAAGATGCCTTTGAAGAGCCAATTTTCTCCCAGGGACTCTGAGAGCGAAGCAGACGTTAGCTACATTAAAGATTAATGGAGAAAAAACTGCGGCA